GGTCTTCCCTTTATCCTTGAAGGGAAAGGCATTGACATGGTATAGGCTATGTGATGATATTGGAGCTTGGAACTACAACCGATTGAAATTGGAATTTCATCAGAAGTTTTATCCTATGCATCTGGTTCATCGTGATCGGAATTATATATATAATTTTTGGCCTCGTGAAGGAGAAAGTATCGCTCAAGCTCGGGGGTGTGGGGGGGGGGGGGCTTAAGTCAATGTTATATTCATGCCCCAACCATGAGCTCTCAAGAGAAATTATTATTCAGAATTTTTATGCTCGGCTTTCTCGTAATGATCAATCCATGCTTGATACTTCTTGTACTGGTTCTTTTATAAAGAAGACTATTGAATTCAAATGGGATTTATTGGAAAGAATTAAACACAACTCTGAAGATTGGGAACTCGACGAAGGTAAAGAGTCAGGTATAAACCTTAAGTTTGATTGTGTTAAATCTTTTATGGATACCGATGCTTTTCGTGAATTTAGCACTAAATATGGACTTGACTCTGAGATAGTAGCTTCTTTTTGTGAATTATTTGCTTCATGTTGTTCTCCCTAAGGAGAAGTGGATCAAATATCGTCCTCCCAAAGCTGAAGAAGAAACTATTACTTATAATATTGATCCAATTGTCCCTACAACTTATATTGAGAAACCACATTTTCCTGTTAGGATAAAAGAACATGCTAAAGCTTCAGCCGTGGTTCGTAAGAGTTATACTAGAACACCTACACCCCCTGAACAAATTAAAGTTGAACCTAGTATTGCTATGGTTAAAGATCTCTTGGTCGATAATATTGATGGACATGTTATTTATTTCTTTGGTGAAGCTGCTAGAATTGCTAGACCCGATAATAAAGATAAACATAGACCTGTTGTTGGCATGCCTGTTGTTTCTGTTAAGATAGGAGATCATTGTTATCATGGCTTATGTGATTTGGGTGCTAGTGTGAGTGTAATTCCCTTTACTCTATATCAACAAATTATGAATGATATTGCACCTGCCGAGATAGAAGATATTGATGTTAATATTAAGCTTGCTAATAGAGATACTATCTCACCAATCAGGATTGTTAGAGATGTTGAAGTCTTGTGTGAGAAAATAAAATACCCTACTGATTATCTTGTTCTTGGTTCACCACAAGATGATTTTTGTCCCATTATATTTGGTAGACCTTTCTTGAACACTGTTAATGCCAAAATAGATTGTGAGAAAGAAACTGTTAGTGTAAGTTTCGGGGATGCGTCTCATGAGTTTAATTTCTCCAAATTTCGTAGACAACCCCATGATAAAGAATTGCATAGTAAAGATGAAATTCTTGGTCTTGCTTCTATTGTCGTGCCTCATCTGATCCTTTAGAACGATATTTGCTAGACAATGAAAATGATATGTTTATGAATAAAAGAAAGGAATTAGACGAGATTTTCTTTAAACAAATGCATGTCTTGAAACACAATTTGCCTGTTGAGACTCTCGGAGATCCTCTACCACCCAAGAGTGATCCTGTGTTTGATCTTAAACAATTGCTTGATACTCTGAAATATGCTTATCTTGATGAAAAGAAGATATAGCATGGTGTTATTAGTGCTAACCTTTCAGAGCATGAAGAGAAGAGATTATTGAAAACTCTGAAGAAGCACTATGCCGCTATTGGATATACTCTGGATGATCTTAAGGGCATTATCCCACTCTATGTCAACATAAAATTAATATGGAGCCTGATGCTAAACCAGTTGTTGATCACCAATGACGGTTAAATGCTAAGATGAAAGAAGTGGTAAGAAATGAAATATTAAAACTTCTGGAAGCATGTGTAATTTATCATATTGCTGATAGTAGATGGGTAAGTCATGTTCATTGTGTCCCTAAGAAGGGAGGTATTACTTTTGTTCCCAATGATATGAATAAAAGGTAGAAGATGTATGACTGCTATATTCTCTGACTTTTGTGAAAAGATTGTTGAGGTTTTCATGGATGACTTCTCTGTTTATTGGAAGTCTTTTGATGATTGTTTAAGCAATCTTGATCAAGTTTTGCAGAGATGTGAAGAAACTAATCTTGTCTTGAATTGGGAGAAGTGCCACTTTATGGTTAATGAAGGTATTGTCTTGGGGCATAAAATCTCCGAAAGAGGTATTGAAGTGGATAAAGCTAAAGTTGATGCTATTGAAAAAGTGCCTTGTCCTAAAGATATCAAAGGTATAAGAAGTTTCCTAGGTCATGCTGGTTTCTATATGAGATTTATTAAAGACTTCTCTAAAATTTCTAGGCTGGAGACCTCTACAACAACACCGAGACCCGAGGACAACACAGACCAACGTACTCCGCCCATTACGCCAAGAGGAAGTCGGCAAGTGGACGACAGGGCTTGGACAGATCTAGAGAAGGCGTCAGTGATGGTGTACATTGCGCCTTGGAGGCCCACGCCCAGTGCAGTAGCCGACACAGACTTGAGCCGCGCCACCGACACTTCTCGGGCAACAAGACAACGCCTCCAAGGAGGGAACAACGTCATGCCGCCACTGCCGCCTAGTCCGGGAGGTCGGACCATGGGTTTCTCTGAGCACGACGACATGAGTCAAATTGGGGCCAAAGCAACGTCTCTAGGGAGGGGACATCGCCCTTGGATGTCGCCGTTGCTAGCCTTGGCATCGCAAAGCGGGGGTTTCTCCCAACACAAGAACACAAAACCCAAAGTTTTGGAGCTGCGCCATTAGGCCGCCCACCACGACGAGAGGTGTCGCATCTCGCAGCACATCAGCCACCACCATCTCTGCCACCACCTCGCACACGGAGCCGAAGCCGCCCACCGCCAATACCACCACCAACCATCCGAGCCGCCTCGCTTGCCGGACCTAGGCCACCAGCGTCATGACCGCCTATAGCGGAGAAGAGGCAGTGTGCCTTCTTCCCCAACATGCACTGGCCAGTGCCACCGGAGCAGGCCCGCCTGGCACCGTGTCCCCACAGCCTAGGACAACACCTCCACATCCACGGCGTGGCAAGCCTCACCAATGGGAAGGATACAACCAATTTCCACCATCCTCCGCCTCCAGAGCCGCACATCCACCCCACCACCATCCACCTTCTCCTCGGAGCGGCGACCACCTCTAACCTCCAGTAGCGGCCATAAAAAGTTGAGCCACCGCCCTTGCTGAGGCCAGATCCAGACGGGAGGGAAGTTCCCTCAAGTTGTTGACTCCACCAGGACCACCGCCGACATCACTCCTCCCGCCTGAGTGATCTGAAGCTCGCAACTGATGCTGGCATGCGCACATAGCCGCCCTGCGAGCCTACGTCGCTTCGTCTGATGCGAGAGGAAGAGAAAACAGTCCCCGTCACCGTGTGGGCTTTGCCCAGCGACGCCCTCCAGCTATGGCAGAGGAGGGGGCGAGGTGGGGGAGAGCTACAGCGGTCGGCTAGGGTTTCCTCCCGGGTCGCCTGCAGGGGCGACACGAGTGGGGAGAAGGGGGAAGGGAGCTCCCCTCTGGGGTTGCGACCCTGGCTGGCGCTGAATTGAACGTTTTTCATGGCAAAGTATATTGACGCGAGGATGACAAATTTAGTTTGTAAGCACGGCAACTTTCTAGCAAAAAATAAACTGATACGGATTTGCCACGTTGGTCAACTAAACTTGTCATCCTCGGCATACACAACTTGCCATGAGAAAATGTTTGATCTGCCATGGCTAATTCAGGTCCCTTTGATTTTTATAATGTGAACAAGCTGCTGCTAAACCTGTATTACCCTTCTTCTTTACTAATAAGCTGAAACAAATATTTTGCCTTCGTTCCGAAAGATAATCTCTAAACTCCACGAGCTCACTCCAGTTTCGTCTAGAGGAACGACGACACTTATTTTGGGACGGAGGAGGAAGTAGATGCTAATCATGCCACTGTGGTGCTGTGTAAGTGTGTGTCCGTCGTATCAAGTGTTTGTTAGCAAAGACTCATCGTGTAATGTATGCTGGCAGCAGCGCCGTCCTGTTACTTAGCCCGACAAGGACTAAGACGGGTCTGCTTGACAGGGCGAAACCCACATGACGGGCATTCTTAGCCGTCTCCCTCTCCTAATAATATATAAGCATGCGGCTCCCACCACCACCAGAGACAAGATGGACAACCTCCATTGGCCACACACACCTCACGCACACGGGCCCTAATAACCCGCAAGCGCATTATACAACCTGAAAGCCAATTATTCGGTTTAGACGACCGCGGGCAGCCTTTGTTGGGCGCCAGATCGGGCACCCCACTGTTGGCGCATGCAACGCAACGCAACCCTCTCGTCTCGACCAAGATCCTGCTGGGCACGCACTGTGGAGGGAGCTTGGCGGCTTCCCGTTGGATGGATGTCGCAGGAAGGGCCTGCCTGAGCAGGGCACTGTGGGAACCATTAACTAGAGCTTGGAGATGGCACGGGATGTCCGGGGGCCGGACGGTACGTATGTAGATCATCAATTCCTACCAGAACTCGTACAACGACGCAAAGACTTGACCGGACGGCGTGTATCTGTGTATGTGGATCGGTCGTCGACATCAATTTCCACCAACTTCTGCACCACGGAGAGAATGGAGGCTGGGCCCATACTACTGCGACACAGAGAACGTTGGTAACATTTCCGTAGGCTTCGTCGAACGGGCTAAAACAGCACAACGCAGCGCGATGCACTCCCGCGAACAAATTTGCAATGGTACGACACAGGTACAATGGGCTAGCACTCCTAATAAAAAGAAGATAGACGGCAATCTGAATAGCTAGCTACTTATCATCTAGCTCGCCAAGCTAGTAACAACGACACATCCAAACCAGAAGCAGAGCCAGAGGCCATGAATGGCTCTCAGAGGCGCCCAGCATCAGAGGAGGAAGGGCACCACACCAGTCCAGTACCAGTGCCGCTGGCCCCTACACGCATCATTTATCAGTTGCCAACACGTACGCGCACGGTGTGTCATCCATCCTGTGACTCGAGTAAAGGGCTGGTTCTCGGTCGCTCAGAAGCACTTCTTGTGGACGATGGACGGGCCAGTCTCGTCGTAGTCGCCCTTGGTCACATGCTGGTTCTGGGGGAAGACCACCTTGGCCAGGATCGCGCCGCCCAGCCACGCCGAGTGCCGCGCCAGGTCCTCCGGCATGTACTCCGGGGCCTGGACGGAGGAATGCAGGTTTGGGTTAGTAACTGGGAATGCCGGGAGCAAGAGCGCACCAGTTTAGGGGGTTTACCTTCACAAGAGTTGGGCGGATCGCGGAGGCAGACAGATTCGCTTCTCTCTGAAACCTGTCCTCGAAACCTTTGGGAACAGTGAAAAAAAAGGGTTAGTTATCCACTATGAACTTTGGTCATTATCAACATGAGCATAAGCAAGGAAGCAATGGAAAAAAAATGCAAGGCACCAGCCGTGCCATTAAACGAAGCTTGTTTGAAGAAGCCTGCGAGTAATGATCATCTGAACTGCTGAAATACGATACCTGCTTATTGATGTCGGTAAGGCATCCTAAGGCGACAACCCACTGCCTTGAAGCCTAAGCGACGACTAAGCGCCTAACGCGGGAAAAACTCGAAGGCGCTGCCTAGGCGCCTTGCTGCCTAAGCGTCCAAGGCAGGACACCTTAGAGCACGGTTCATAGTATAGCCAACTGTTGGCTATATGATGTTGCCATGTCATATGTAGTCATCACTTATAGTCACTCATACAACAAGGTTAGCTATAAGGTAGGCTATAAGAGTACTACATTTTTTTTTCCACCTTCTCTCTCTCTTTCTTCACATTTATTGCATTTGACTAGGAGTACGCATATAGCTAGGCTCTTGCATGAGCCCGCTCCCATTATTTTTTCATGTCTCTCTCCTTCATATAGGCAAAAATGCCATGTAAGCGGGCTATAAGCCCATTATTGTGCTTGCTCTTAAAAACAATGGCTATAACCAGCATTACTAGCCACAGCTCTTCCAAAATGCTCCACCACACGTTTCAGCATAATGTTGATTGTGTTATCTGCATATCCACACGGACACTAACAGGAGTACAAGATATTCCTGAGTCCTACATAAGATTCTGATTTCTTTCCAACAAAATGAAATCCCCAGGTCCCAACACCACGGGTACTCAAATGAGAGAACTTCCAAACTGGCCCCGTTTCCTCAGTTCTGGGACATGGATAGAAACAAACTAGACCGTTGCTGCATAGGTCATACGCCACTAGCATTCAGACAATCAATTCATACAGCATCTACTTTTCATAATTGTGTCATGCAGAATGTAGTTTTTTTTAATGATGCCGTGTGCCACAGGGAAGCATATATTATCATCCATAAACAGTAAGCCTAGCAGGTTACTAGTATTTATAGCTAATAGTAGTTGGCATGCATTTTCCATGTAGAATATAAGATAGAAACCCCAAGAGTTTTAACCAAGGAAAAGGCATCTTGCAGAGAAGAGCAATAACTAACCAGTCATAGATACAGTGCCACCACATAACATAGTGTTCTCCAGCAGTTGCTTTTGGTACTCTGATGCGACGTTTGAAACACTAGTAATTAGCTGGTGGACAATGCCATAATCTTCTAAGCCCAAGATGCTTGGTTGAAACAAAGCTTCGCCAACTATATAGCGCTCTTTTTCAATTGTTATAACCTGGAGGAAAAAGTGTTTAGTGAACAGCTATTCTATACATTCAGGGTGATAAATAAACATCAAAGCATTTGATCAACCTAAGGATGATAATTCACATAATTATCATGCATTTTATAATGAGAAAAATTGCACGCTAAGTGCTCTCTATACATGTAAATGAACAGGTGGATGTTTGATAGAGCATTTACACCAAAGCAGTGTAACATAATTAATAACGAACCTGTCCATCTGGAAGAGTGTGAGTTTCAGGCTGGCGTGTACTTGCTATAGCTTCAAAGGCTGACTGATCTTCTGTGCAGCATGCATACTGCTCTTTCAGCCTCTCAACGTCAGAAATATCAATGTTTACTGATGGGTTGGACTTCTTTAGTTCTTGTGCAAATAGGTTTGTCAAGTCAGTTCCTCCAATCTCAAATCTCTTCGACGCTACGTGCTGAACAGCACCTTCAAAAACTGGAGCAATATCTGGACAGCCAATACAAAAGAAGGGCACTTGTCAAAATTTGTCCCATGTAATTTAGTAAGCACACAGTGGACAACCAATGCTGAACAACTTTCTCTTTAAGGACTGGTCTTAATATATCTGTACAGTGGCTCGCTTGGTATTGCTGCATCGTGCTGCAGAATCTAGTTAGGCTTGGTTTTACTGTATCGTGCTGCAGAATCTAGTTAACTGAAAGAATCTATACTTGTCCAACTCAAATATTTATGTTCTGATTGTGACAAAGGGGTAGCCAAGTACCCCCAACTTATTAACATATCCAAAAATAGTAAAAAAAAAACTCCTGGGGAAGAAAAGCCACCACAATGCAAATTGTGAAGTAATACAAATATAAAGCAGTTGCGAAGCACAATTACAACTTACATCTGAACTACTGAACAAATAAACTATAAATAGAATTTGTTCCCGGATTCAGACTCCTAGTATTCCTTCACAAGCCCATGAACAATATGTATTGATTTCTTGTGTTAATACAAAAAAATATATTACTGATGACAAAGCACACACAAAAAATGTTACATTCCCTTCACACCTTGTGATCAAGAGGGAGGAACCCTATTTGGGTTAAAAGTACAGAAGAAGATGAATAAACCATTCGAATAAACAAGGATTACTTAAAAAAATAAAGCTGCAGAGAGAAATGATCTTCGGATGAAGGAAATGCGACACAACATGTACAAATTACACATACCAGAAGACAAGAGAAGACAGAAACATTTGAAATACAAATGATGGTGTGTATACTATATTACTGACTGGAGAGGGTTAACATAAGCATCATTGCTACCATTTAGAAGAATTTCTGTCATCCCTGTATGATGTTCTTGCAATGTGCTTAAAGATCATCAATCACTGGGTGACAATTGTGTTGCACAAATTTGAGCTCAAAAGGGAATGCATATTTTCCCTGCAAGCCTTCGATATGTGCTAGTTTTCACCAAGGTTATTCTAGAGTGAGTAAATAAAAGATACTGAAAGAAGTATTAAACGTAAAATCACCAAACCAAGGAAACATAAAGTCAATAGCTTCAGAACAAATACCATATCATACAGACATTACACAAAGGCCACATATGGAATCAACAGTGTCGCAATTCAAGTTCAAGATACAGCTGGATTTGGTGATATTACCTATTTTCCCATGTCCAATGTCAACCGTACAACCCGAAATGCGACCAACAGCATAAAGGGACAATACAGCCTGTTCAGAATCATAAAATCCTGATACGTTGAATTTTTCAAACATAAGTTGCACTAATTGCTCCCGGAGAGCCTGCAGAGAACATGACATAATTGGAGAATTAGAACCAAATGCAAGACCAACACGATTGGTAAAACCAATTGATTAGCTGCACTAAAATATGGATAATGTCAAATGGAAAAGGCTTAGCAAACAAGCAAGAGAGAGATTGTATTACAGATTGAGAATCATGAAAACTTATTTAAGTGGCATTGCAAATGCTTTTGAAAAAGCATATGCATTTTCTGCTTTTTACTAACCATTTGAGAGCATTCCCTTTTTATAGAAGAAGTGGAACTGGTAAAGACTTCCACAAATAAGTGGATTATATAGCACAGCACAACAACCAAAAGCTGGCCCTTAAAAATGTATGAAGACCGTAAGACCAAAATCGAAACAAATCCACGACCTTAACGATTGAGGAAAAAGGGGTAGGTATTACTATGGCCCGAGTCTTTTCTTCTTTCGGCCTTATCTCATAGCGAGGAATGGTGCGTGCTAGCCTTCAGACTATAGTTTGAGTGCTACATCATGCAATATCTGCCACTGTTAGAACTTCATTCAATTCCAATGATATCAATATATGGAAAGCAATGTACCAGGAAGACTACTGGGCACCATATGTTGGTAATTTCCAAGTGATACAGCTGCAGATAACCTGTTCAAACTCTAGCCCAGGGGGGTGTCCTGTTTGATACCTAACCATGCCATGCCTAACTCTAGTCACGAAACAGTTGTTTAGGTATGAGTTTGCTTCATTACCGCAAATCAGAATGTGACTCACTACCCTTTTCTTAGTTTCTTGGCCCACCTGTTAAAGACTCAGGTTCCATGGGTAACTTTACTGAACTTGCAGTGGCCATTTTGATAAAAAAAAAATTATGGCAAGGTTGGCCACAAACATAACATACAGTAGAATTTAAAATGCACATCAAAACCCAAAGCTAGAATTATGTAGTAAGATTCAAAAGTTAACCAAAATAGCACAAAGATTTTGAACTAAAAAGCACAAAATGGATATGTGGCTCACAGTAACCTTTTTGGGAGTCCATCATCTCTACTCGGATAAGAGAAAACTAACCATGCCCAATTGTGTAATGTGTGTAAACCACTACACAAACGCACTACCAAATAACAAAAGAACTTTACACATAATCAAATAAATCGGTAGAGAGATGGCATAAGGAGAATTATGGCATTGGACGACCAGTGAGAGCTTAATGTGGTTCTAAACCAAACCTTTCCATCAAATCAACATGAACTGAAGTGTTTGATGATGGGGCATCCACGTGGTCAAGAAACACATGTGAAACCACTTGAGGATGTAGCAGATGATTTTTTATTGAAGAAGTGGACTTTTCCAAGAGCTCAGTTGTTAAATGTGGACTGTTTTGTTTGGAATGTATATCACATGGACCTATAGTCCAGTGGAATTGAGCCCATCCACAAAAGGAAGAGCTAATGCCATTTTAGGCTGGTAGAAGTGCGGAATCGCATAAGCCAACATGCGGGTTAAGTTGGTGTGCCAACACCCAAGACCACATAACTCAGACCCAATTAATCCTGAAACCTAGTACGTAATAGCAAACCCTGAACTTTTACCTGGTCCAGTATTGTGTTAAATTGCAACAAGTCTATTAGGCACGAACACATTTAAACGAGCCTGAAGTCAAGCAGGGAGTGCAGTAGTAGCACCTTGGGCGTGAAGAGTGGCTCGGTGAAGAGGATCTGGCCCTCGTCCCCCATCTCCCAGCCGATGTTCCTGTAGAGGACGTAGGTGAGCAGGTCCTCCATGGCGTCCCAGTCCTTGACGAAACCGCGCACCACCGGATGCACCACCTCCACCACCACCGCTGCCGCGCCGTCGGCCACCTCGTTCTCCTCCACCTCCGTCTTCATCTTGGAGGGCATCACCTGACCACACACGCGCGCATCGAACAGGGGGCTCCCGCGAAATCTCGAGCGAATCGACGGGGAGCAGAGGAGATCTGGCGACTCACCAGCCCCGGGGCCTGGTCGGGCAGCGCGATGCCGGCCTTCAGCAGCTTGGACCCCGCGTCGACGACCACCGCCTCCATGGCCGGCGGCGGGTGCAGGCGGGGAGCTCCGGCTCCGCGGCGGCGACGCAGGGAGGTGCGGGCGCTAGGGTTTGCGCCGAGGATTTTTGAAATTTTTGGGCCTCGCGGGAAAGGGATGGAGAGGTTTTGGAGGATTTAGCGGAAGAGTGGGGAGGAAGAAGAAGCTCTCGCGGCAGAGGAGATCTCGCTGCGGCCGCAGGGCGGAGCGAGTGGGTGACTGGCAAGCGGCGACCGGCGAGAGGCGGGTTACGTATTCCTAAATTACGCCTCTGAACAATGAAAGTGTTCTTCATTCTACGCCTTCGGTCGTTTAATGTGGATCCGTGAGGCACCCGCGCGGTTCGCGCCACCCGGCCGTCTCTGCCGGCATGGCCCCACCGTGGTCCGCCCCGCGCCAGCTCCTCCTCCACCGCCTCGCCGCCGCGCGCGCCATCTCCAGCCGGGCCTACCCGCCGCCCACCTCGACCCCGGAGGCCTTCCACGCGCACCTCGCGGCGCTCGCGGCGCCCTCCCGCGCGGGCCACCCGGCCACGCTCCCGTCCCTCCTCGCCGCGCTCTCCCGCGCCCGCGCCGCGCGGCTGCCGCTCCTCCCGGCCACCCGCGCGCTGGCGGCCTCCGCGCTCCTCCGCCACGGCCGCCTCCCCGACGCGCTCGCGCACTTCAGCCTCCTCCCGGACTCCGCCGCGCCGCCTGCTCCGCTCGGCAACTCCCTGCTCGCCGCCCTCGCGTCGTCCGGGTCACTCGCCGCCGCGCGTAAGGTGTTCGGCAGAATGCTGTCCAGCGGCGCCGAGCTGGACACCGTCGGCTTCGGGGTGTTCGCGAAGAGCGTGGGCAGGAGGGACGGGCTGGACGAGGTCCTGCGGCTGGTGAACGCGGTGCATCATCGGGAGGGCTTGATCAACAAGTCTGTTGTCGCGGCGATGGTTGCCGACGGTCTGTGTCGGGAGCGCAGGATAGAGGATGCTTGGCGGGCTTTGGAGGATATGAGGTTACGTGGATGGAAGCCGGATTTTGTGGCGTACAGGATTGTGTCCGAGGGGTTCAGGTTAGCTGAAAGGGCAGAGGAGGAAGGGAGGATCTTGAAGCAGAAGAGGAAGCTCGGTGTTGCACCAAGGAAGGTGGACTACAGAGAGGTTTTGCTTGCGCTGGTGTCTGGCAGGCAGATTTCTGACGCGAAGGAGATGGCCGAGGCGATTGTATTAGGCGATTTCCCAATTGATGACGACGTGTTGAATCTCTTGGTGTGTTCGGTGTCCGAGGTTGATGCTGATGCTGCCATTATGTTCTGCAAGTTCATGATAGGGAAGGAGAGATTGCCAAGTATACAGATGCTCGTACAACTTTGCGAGAGCCTTTGCAAGAATGGCAAGGGCAATGAGATGTGGGAAATGTTTAGAGTGCTTTTGGATAAGGGCTATTGCACGAGTGAGAGGGAGTATCATTTGGTGGTGTCATTCTTGGGCAAGGCAGGGAAGGTCAGAGAGGCATATGATGTGATAAAGGAGATAAAAAGGAAGAGGCTCGATCCTGGCATTTCATCATACAATTCTCTCATGGTAGCACTCTGCAGAAATGACCTCCTTAGGCCTGCTAAGAAGTTGTGGGATGAGATGTTCACCAGTGGGTCTAGTCCAAATCTGCAGACCTACAATATACTTATAACAAAATTTGCAGAAATTGGTGAAAGTGAACAAGTCCAACAGCTGTTTGATCACATGGTCCAGAAAGGAGTGACCCCAGATAGTACAACATACACATCAGTCATTACTATGTTGTGCCAAGAAAACAAATATGAACAGGCTGAGGAAATCTTCAACAAATCTGTAGCGCAGGATCCTAAACTAGCTAGTTCAGTGTTAACTGTGTTTATCATTGCACTCTGTAAACAAGGTATTCCTGTCCTCGTTATTAGGTATTATTGCTGCTTTACTTTTTCTGTTGTCTCCTTGTAAATGTAATCCTTGGAATTTTTTCAGGTGGCTTCAAAACAGCATTGGGTGTTATGTCAAGTCTTCCATCCAATATTGAGAGCTCGAATTCACATGTTATTCTGTTGAAGTGCCTAACAGATGTTGAGGAAATTGAAATGGCTTCTGAACACATAAAGTGGATTAGACGCTACTGCAGCTCTGCTTTTCAGAATATAATGAATGAACTCGTGGCTTCTCTTTCCACTTCTGCTAGCCTTCAACCTGTCAGGAAATTGGTCTGTTATTTACATTCTCAGGGGCTTGTTAATGAAGTTGGCCCATGGATGAAGTTGATAGAAGATGATTATGCTTGAATCACAGGTTCAATGGTCATATCATATGATACCACTTGTCCATTTTGCCAAGAATGCACAACGTGTCTTGAGACTATTGGAGGTCAGGCTTCAGTGCATTACTTCACAAAGCGATATTGATACTTCCCTCTGATGCATCTAGTTCTCAGAATTACCAATGAGAAAATGACCGAGATTTCTGTAAAGATCTGGTTTGTGCTGATCTATTCTGAGCAATCCTGAGGTATCATTTCTTTCACATCACCATTTACTGTAGATCGTTAGTATTTGTATTCTTATGATTATGTGACTTCTGTAATTTTGCACCTTTTCGCCCACAAATATCATCAAGACGAAGAGTCTAGTTGTCATTTGTGCACCATATTATATGGAAATTATTCATCTCAGCGACAATGTCTTCTGGTTGCAGGTTTGGGGCCACTGTTCTATTTTGCTCCTACTGCAAAATAAATCTGGTGTTTATTGGCCATATGCTTGGCTGGTATAATGTGGCGATGGTTTGGGATTACATTGAGCGAGCATAATGAAATTTACCTTTATCCAAGGAAGCACTTCATTATGATGGTTCTGCCGCTACTGTGGGTATGCCAATTGCGGTCATGGAGGATCAGAATGAGTTATATGGTGACTAGTGGATTCTGAAACTGACCAGGTTCGTTGTGTTATAGAAGGTCAAGGCAATTCTTGTCCATCTGATCTCCTCCCCCTCAGAGACTGCTGAAAGTTCTGTGAGGGTTGGTGGCACTTTCACGATGGCATCCTACACTGTATCTAAGGTCCCTGTTGTGGATTCAGCTTGATTTATGTCATGGAAACAAGGGCGTAGGCTGCACTCCATTTTTGGAATTGTACATCGAGTTTCTGTGGTTCGGACAGATACTCTCTGATTAAGGGTGTTTTGTCGACATTTTAGATGCCTCGGTAGATTGTCCATAGATGCTCGTAGGTGTGGTTCTGGATTCGACCCCATCTGTTACTCAAGCATGTTGTATACTTCTGTCATCTTCATTGACTGAAGAACCAGTTAAAACCATTGTCGAAAAAGCATATGCATAGTTCTGTAGAGCGATCAAATAATAAGGAAGCAGGGTAAAATAAAAAAGACATGCATAGTTCCTACTTTCCCACTACCCTTCTCGCATTGCAAATGGCTAAAACTGCACATATCAGATATTCAGACCACGAGCATCACAAAATAGCACTCATGTGATATAACCACAAGAGGAAGCACATGAAGGAAACATGATTCATGTGGCCTGCAGCATATCCTGTGTATATACAGTTGTAACTCCCATCAGCTTCAGATGAACAAAGGGTTGTCTAACATTGTACTGCAGAGACGATATGCAATAAAAATGGCAGTGTATATATCTAAAGTCTAGTGTTCCAGAAAGAAACAGTGAATTTTTCATGAATTGTGCATCTTCAGCGCGGTGGTGATCAGGATGTAAGTACAGTAGGAAAGAAGTGGCAGAGACAACTAGGCAATTGCAACCGGGCTCCTCAACATCCTGTCCTAGCTAGTCTTAACTTGGAAGTTTGTTGGAATTTTGGCCTCGCGGGGCGTGGGGTTGAAAGTTTTGGATCTGGATCCCACGAGGATGTTGAGAAGAGTTCTGCGAACCCTCCATGTGGGAAAGCATTGTATGACTTGACAGCAGGCAGTGATGATGAGGTACGGAGTCTGTTGTAATTCTAATTCATGGCTACGTCCTATAACTTTCTGAAGTCCAATGTTTTCTTTTTGTCCTTGGTTTGATGGGGTATTGCTTATTGGAGAACACGTTTTCGTTTCCAGAGAGATAACTATCAGTTTCCTGAAGTGAATTTAGTTGGTGCATTCATCTGACGCTGTTATTGCACTTTTTAATTGGTTGAAAGTATTGTCTGCACATTCTTTATCATGCCAGTTTATTTTTAAAAAGCTCTGCACTAAATCTGAATGGCATATGCCAAAAAAATCAAGCTGTCCCTTCATTCTTGTCTGGGGGTGCAAACAAGATAACACGCACTCCACTAATTTATGTACGTAATTGTTTTCAGCCGAGTTTAAAGTAACCATGGCGCCTCTTGTTTCTTGTCTTGGTGTGCATTTGAGCGGCAACTAATACGGATCGGACAAGTAACTGTCTTCAGCTGAGTATAAACTCTGGAGAGGATGTGGATATTGAATATGAGGTTGATGGTTACGTACTTCCTCCGTCCGAAATTACTTGTCGCTCAAGTGCTAGATACATTCATTTGAGCAACAAGTAATTACGACCTTACTATGAATTTTACTTGTTCCCTGGCTGTGAATGATGACATTTTAAATGGGCAACTGTTGCTATTAGCTCAGGTGAAGAAAAAGAGATCAGGAAGGGATGGGACGATGGCAGGTCTGGTCCCTGTTTTGTACTCCCTCCGTCCCAAAATTCTTGTCTTAAATTTGTCTAGATACAGATGTATCAATACATCTGTATCTAGACAAATTTAAGACATGAATTTTGGGACGGAGGGAGTATGTGAGCTCGTGAATGAACCTTGTGACACTCCCTCCTCTCAAGAGCAAGAGCTGGGTGGAGTACATGTGCCTAAGATGAAACGCGGAGAAGTTTCTATGCTAAAACAGGAACAACCTACACCCACAACAATTAACTAGGACAACTCACAACAAAAGAGAACCATAAGAACAAATGACATCATCTTTAGATGTCACTAATTATGTCACATCTAGATGTGTTCTAGACGGACGAGTGGGGTGTTTTGGTGATCGAGCTCCATGGAGCCCTTTATTTTTTAAAAATTCAAAATTCAAACTTTTTGGCTTCAAAAAAATCTGAAAAAATGCAAGTATAAAAAGTTGAAATGTATATGTGTGTAAAAATTTAGAATGAAATGCAACATGTACAAAAAAACAAATACCTGGACTTTCAGGTAGTATCATGTGCAGAAAAGCTCTAGATTTTTTTTTTTGCACAACCCTCATTTCAACGTGTTTCGTCTTGAAAATTCACACACGTGTACATTATGCCTCCATGTATATCTGTAGTTTGTTTCAGAATTTTTTGAAACATAAAAATATGAAATGACTTGCCTAATCCGTCTTAGGTCACAAACAGGCCACATCACCTAGGGGGAAATGATGCTTTCCTCATACACTGCGGCGTCCGTCGTGCTTGTGATGGAATCATAGACCATGCCGCTTCCACTAAACATGTCCTCAACATCACCCGTCATTGGGTCGTATGCACACATCCGGGAATAGTTGTTCCCGTGGGCCAACGAGCGGGGTCGTACGAGGAGGATGCGACTGCCATTGTTGATGGTGACGAGTGGGTTTGGCCATTTCACGAACCGGTTGGTCATATCTGGTGACACCTTGCTCATGTCGAGTCGACAATGCAAATTCCAGACGCGTTCTCCATGTTCGGGTAGCAGCCAGATGTCGCAAAATGAGTTCGAAACATTATGGGAAACGAAGCATAAGTGATCATCGACCTTCGTCAAATGGTGTTTGGGCAAACTACGTACATCCTTGTCCATACCAAGTGGTGGTGGCAGAGTCCCGAATGTATGATTAGAGAGAGAGAATGATACAATGACAATCTCAGCAGGTTTGTTTGTTTGTATGTGCATCATAGCCGAGCCCTAGACTCACATAATGTCGACTCAAAACATCATTCACGTGCCCCCTCATCTTGTCGCGCTCTGGGAGTGCCGTTATCTGACCAGTTGACGGGTTGCACAGATAGTTGATTTCTGCACGGGGTGTTTGAAAGATGGCAAGGCCACGGCACACAAGTGTGGCGATGCGTAAGGCCCTTTTGGCATTGGCACCCTTTGGAACATACAAGGTCGATGGCGCACCGTTAGGGCTGTCCTGCTGCGACCAGACGTGCATCAATGGTCCATCGCGGGACGAGTGATGCAAGAAGAAGACCCTAGGGCTGTGGCGGTGGTTGGCGAGGCGACGGTGGCGATCGGTGAAGTCCTCCGAGGAGAGCGTGGCGGCCCAGGCGCGGGAGAGATAGCGGCACCGGCCCACAAACTTGGCCGGCAGCCGCGCAAAAATGTCCATGATGACATCGTCGGGGAGGGAGGGGCACGGAGGGGCACGGCAACGCCACCGTGTTTCCCAGGTCGGTCGGCGAAGCTGCCATCTGATCTCGAGTGTATGGGAAAGCGGCGGCGGCGTGTTGTTCGATCTCTCGCCTGCCTAAAATCCATCGTTGGGTCTATTTAAGGATGGCGATATGGCAAGTCCGAGCCGGATCCTGTTGGGAAAAAGATAATAACTCTCAAACAGACAAGGGCCGGAAGGAATCGGAAATTCGCATCTAACACGGCGAATTGAAGAGGAGAAGCACCAAGGACGATCGATGTCGTCAAAGCGCCACTCCGACGTGCTGGGCGGTGGCCGGAAGGCCAAGCGCCAGCGCCAGCGCCGCCACCTTTACTTCGTCGTCAACGACGGGGACGGGTAGGCCATCCGAAAGACGGACCTGTCGTCGGACTACGACTCGGACGATGACGCAGCGCGGCACGAGGACGGGGAGATCGAGACGGTGGGCGGCGCGTGGTCGCCACTGCCGCGGGTCCTCCTCCGCCTGCCGGCTCAGACGGGCGAGTACTTCGTCGCCAGCGGCACCAAGATCCTGCTCACGGAGTCCGGCTGGCCCAAGCGCGCCGTCCCGGCCTTGGACGTCCGCACGCGGGGCCTCACCCCCGGCCCCCGGCCTGGGACGGGCCCTCTGAAGTCTGAATCCAATCTACATGCCCCTCGGCCGCAGCCTCGTCTCCCTCGACTTTGGATCCGCCGAGTTCCTCGACCCTCCCCCGCCGGAACGCAGCAGCTTGAATTGGTCGTGGGAGAAGCTCGAGCAGCCTCCGTTCAGGCACGAGCATGTCATCTGCCATGCCGCGCACCCGGACGGGCGGACGCTCGTCGTCAGCACCGAGAGCTGCGGCGCCTGCGCCACTTTCACCTTCGACGCCGATGATGTCGTGTGGAGGAAACA